AACCGCGATCCAAGACAGCTCCGCATGGGATGGCTGGCGCCCCCAATGAGCTAGGCTCCACGAGCCGTCAGAGTCGTTTCCAGGCTTGCGCGACGCCGACGATCGCCCCATGACAGCTCGCCAGGCCACCTTGCAAGCGAAAGAGGTTTCCTAGTGTATTCCCACAAAGGGGCCCCCAGAAGCTAACATCCCAGTTTTGTTTATATTTTTTCCAAGGTTTCTGGCCACCCAGCCTGTTCTGTTTTTCGACGGTGCAAACTCGCCCCCAAGATTGCCCCGCTGCGGCCCCAAAGGCTCCCAACCGTGCCCCATGACGGCACCAGAGGGCACCCTGACAGCTTCAGCGGCGCCAGCGAGGAGCCCCGAACACCCCAACACAAACGATTAGGGCCACAAGAGAGGCTTGGGTGCCTTTGCGGTCGCCAGGGGCTGTCTCGACACTGCTGATTGCGTCTCGACGTCCCACGACAGAGCCAAAGACATGTCCCAGAGCTCAAAGGACGGGATGGAAAATGAGGACGAGGACGATGAGTAGGGGAACGGCGAGGACGATGAGGGGAGGAGGAGGAGGAGGAGGAGGAAGAGGAGGAGAAGGAGGAGGAGGAGGAGGGCGACGAGGACGACGAGGACAACGAGGACGACGAGGACGACGAGGACGAGGAGGAGAGGGCGGAGGAGAAGGCGGAGGAGAACGAAGAGGAGGAGGAGCAGGCACGAGGGGGAGGGGTTGGGGATGTGGGGGGCCGCCTGCTTCTCTGCGTCGTCGTCCTCCTCCTCGTCCTCCTCCTCCTCCTTCCCCTCCTCCTCTTTCTCCTTATCCTGCTCCTCCCCCTCCTTCCCCTGATCTTCCTGCACCTTCTGCTGCTGCTGCTGCCGCTCCTGCTCCTCCTCTTTCTACTCATGTTCCTGCTCCTCCTTTCCCCCCTTGCACTCCCTCATCACCCCGATTCCTTCTCCTTCTCCCCCTCCTGCTCTTGATCCTCCTCCGGTCCTTGGGCCGCACTCGCGGGGCCGAGGAGGGGTCCAGGGGTCGTGGAGGATTTCATGGGCCGAACATGGGTGTACAGTCGTTCGCGCGGGTCCCCGGAGCCAAGGCTCCAAAGCCCAGGGTCCAGAATCCATCAAAGGCGGACGAGAAGGAGAATGAGAATGAGAATGACTGAAGACTAAGTCTTAACTCCATGCTACACCGCTCTCTGACCACCTCCAGCGACACGAGGAGAAAGAAGAGGACGGCGACCATGCAATACTCCACGCGCTGCACGTAGGCTGCACCATACGGGCGGCAACCGACTTGGAGACCATACCGGAGTAGGGGACATTCCCGCGTGCACCCCATTGACGACCTCATAACCACTTCGATAATACAACCTGTACGAGCGACTGCAGCCACGACCGATTGAAGCATATACCCCGCACACAAGAATGCCAGCAATCCACGAAGCCCACTTCCAAGCAGGGGAATAACAAGACTCCCACGTACACCCAAAAGCGAAACCTCCAAACCATTGCCGAAACATGCACAAGTGACTGATAAGGATACGCAACACTGCATACACAAATGGCCACAATCTTGAAAGATGCAGAGCGGCACCGATGCCGATCACCAGAGCTGTCAAACTGACCGTTGAAACAATAAACGCACCATGTGAAGGTACAGCAGGTACAAAAAAAACCGCAAGACCCTGCGGGTATGAACCCGGTGGGTATCCCATGGGCACAATAAAACAACTCGTACATATATTGAAATATAAAAGCTGGGCCACCATACGCACTTTGAAGGCCCCGCAAATCGGGGAAGATGAACCCAACATCCCACGGACATCCACGAACGCCTGACAAGTGTCCCAGGTGGCATGCAACCATTGAATGAATTTGAACCTGACTCTGACACTTCGCCCCGCTCTTAGCCGACCCACGCCTCTGTGAATAGACGACGTCTAACATCCAGAGTTGCGAGAAGCCACAAGCACGCCGCGCTGAGGCGGCGGGGCAGGACCCATGACGCGCTTGAGCCAAAAAGGATCTACGCGCCTTGGGCCCAATGTGCTTGAGGCGGACGAGAAGGAGGAGGACGACGAGAAGGAGGAGGAGGAGGACGTGTCCAGGGAGGAGACGAAGGCGAACGAGGACGAGGGCGAACACGAAGACAAAGGGCGAGGAGGAGGCCGACAACGATGACGAGAAAGGAGGGAGTCCGGGCACTGTTGGGCCTCGGGTTTCGTTCCCCACTCCCTTGGGTGGATTTACCGCTCCGGTTCTGTCTGTGTCGGTCTGATTCGCCCCCATTCGGTCCACGAGCGATTTTGGTTCGGTTCGATTCGGGTCTTCACCGCGACCATTCCGGTTCGGTTCGCTTCGTCTTGGAGGGGACGTTGGTTCGCGGCCGTTCGATTCAGCCTGGTCCAGTCCAGGCAGTTTTGGAACCTTCCTGCAATGAGACACTGCGACGGAGTTACGCCAAGAAGGAGGCAACACAGCACGAGATTTCCAAGGCTCCAGGAGGGTCGGCCGTCAGGACCCTGGAGAACGAGATCCGCTGTCGATGGTGTTGCTTGCCGTGGCATCCTTTGGCGCCGTGAAGCCGTGACTAGAACCTAAGCGCGTGTAGCGCGCGCGGTTCTAGCATGTGTGTGTGTGTGTTTGTGTGTATGTGTGTGTGTGTGTGTGTGTAAAATTGTATATAGTATAAATGAAAACCGCCCCCCCAAATTCCCGGGTCCCACACCTCCTGGGACCACCTCGGGGGAACTCCCGGTACCGCTCCTGCGAAAGGATGGTCCAAGACGCTCCCAAGCAACCCAAGTCAGGATTCCGACGGTTCTCCACGCTCCCAGGAGGCCTCCAAAAGGCCCGAAGAGAGGTTCGAGAGGCGTCCCGGGAAAGCTCGAAGAGACCCAACTCGTAGATTTTGTTGTGTTTTTTCTATGTTTTTGGCCTCTCGCGTTTTCGAGCTTCCAACGCTCCAAGAGCTTCGAAGAGCCGCCCAAAACCGCCCCAGAACCACCCAAAAGACCTTCAGGACGGCCCCGACACGGGCCAAGAAGGCTCCAAGACTGCTGAAGAGGCGCCCAGGACAGCCCCAGACCACCCCAGCACATGCCCAAAATGGGCCCAAGAGCGGGAGCAGGAGGCTTCCAGAGACCTCCGAGAGGCCTCCGGGACCACCCAGCGGCCCCCAACACACCCCCGATCCCTGAGAGGCCCCAGAAATACCCCGACGAAACTTCAAAAACAGCCCGAGAGAGCTGCGAGAGCCGTCCCGACAGAGCCCAAAGAGGGTCAACTCGTTGACTTCCAATGGCTTTTCTGCTGTTATTTACGTTTTAACGTTTTCCCGCTTCCAGCCCTCGAAGACCGAGGATTTTGGAAGGAAACAAAGGAATTCCCAGTTTTTTTTTTTTTTTTTTTTTTTTCTTTTTTTCCTCTTCTTCAAAGTGGGATTCCTACTCGGAGGTCTCACACATCCCCTGAAATCTGGCCTGTGCCGCGGCGCCCCCCGGCTTCCTGGGAGGCACCCAAAGACACAAGGACAGCCCAAAACGATTCCAAGGAGCCCCCAGAACGTAAATAACGGCCCAACACGCTCCCGCGCAGCCCGAGACACCCTTCCGACGGCTCTCCAGGCCTCCAGGATGCCCCCAGAACCCCCAGGGGGTTCGGAAGATTCCACACCCCTGAAGGACCTGGCTGACAATACCCGCGAGGCACAAACAAAGAACAGCGCCGAGGAACAGGAAACAATGAACTCCCAGAATTCTATTTTGTTTTCAAGTTTGGCCCCCGGTTTACTCTTGCACAACAAACCACAATTCAGACCCCCCTCACCTCCAAAAAAAAACCAGGAGGCCTTTGAGGGCTCCGAATCGTTGAGAAGAAATTTAAGGATTTCTGCGTTTCCGCACTTCCCTTTCTTAATACGATTCCGAGGCTTGCGCATGGCCTCCACGGGAGCCCCTGGACGCAAGAAGCGACCAACATGACATTACATGAGTTTTCCGATCATGCTTAGCCAGAACTTGAGCGTGCGCGAAGCGCTCGCGATGGTTCTAGTACATATATATATGTACACACATATACACATACATAAACATATATATATATATAGACGGGCGGCGTGATGGTAGCTTGAAGCTCAGGGCTCCAAGAACCCGTTTTCGCTATCGTTTCAAGGCTCGCTCCACCGCGTTGGGGCCCGACGTCCCGGGTCTTCGGGAGGGACCGATGATGTCCATGTCCACGTCCGCACCCTCCTGGGGTCCAAGTGCACCGGATCCCCAAGTGGCTCGGACGGTGATAATCTTGAACTTTTTGACACTTCCTGATTCCAATCTACCTTAAGCGCCCCCAATTTCAATCATCGAGTGGCTTGACAGTTTTCTTCCTCTTTGCGGGACGGGCGGGAATCCGATTTACGATCGACGACCTCCTACCTGATGCTTCAGCCCACCTCTTCTGCCCGAGGGGTGCACGAATCCCCAGTTCGTATCGACCCAAAAACAAACGACACCGCCCGACCTACGGCCGTTCATGGTGTGCTACGGCCCATCGGGGGCCATCGGGGGCCGTAGCGAATACCACGCACAAGCCCAAGCCAGATTTCACGGTAGATGCTAAGGTGCTAAGGCCCGTGGGGCCGTAGATGGGGTGGTGCCGTTTGTTTTCCGGTCCATCGCGTTTGCGCCTTTCTTTCTTGAGTGAGCGGCAGCATTCCAGCACACACAGACACACAGACACACAGACACACAGACACACGCACACACACACACACACACATTCACACACACAAGCATTCACACACATTCACACACATACACACACATTCACACACATTCACACACATTCACACACATACACACACACCCTGCGCCACCGCGGGCTGCTCGAGCAGCGCGTCCCGCCCCCCTCGTCCGCCGCCGCCCCACATCCCGCGCGCCACGACAGTGCGCTGTGCGCTCGGCCGCGCTCTCGCGCGGCCCGCGCCCCCCCCTTTTCCCGAGGAGCTGCGCGAGGACCGGGAGGTGGTGCTGGCGGCGGCGCAGCAGGATGTGCGCGGCCGGCCCCACCGCCGCCCCCGCCGCCGCCACCGCCGCCATGCTCTTGCTCTCGGGCCGGGAGGAGGAGGAGAGGAAGAGGAGGAGGAGGAGGAGGAGGGAGGAGGAGGAGGAGGAGGAGGAGGAGGAGGAGGAGGAGGGAGGAGGAGGAGGAGGAGGAGGAGGAGGAGGAGGAGGAGGAGGAGGAGGAGGAGGAGGAGGAGGAGGAGGGAGGAGGAGGAGGAGGAACGAGGAGGAGCGAGGAGGGAGGAGGGAGGAGGAGGAGGAGGGGGAGGAGGAGGAAAAGGAGGAAAAGGAGGAGGAGGAGGAGGTGGAGGAGGAAGAGGAAGAGGAGGAGCAAGTCACGGGCTGGGGAGGGGCCAGCCGCGCCAGAGGTCGTCGCCGTCGCCCAGTCGACCGCCCCCCCCCGCGCGGCCCGCCCATCGGCCAGGGCCCAGCGCGCCATCCGCGGCGAGGTGGCCGCGCGCCTGGCGCTTTCTGCGCTACAAGAGGGTCCTTTGGCGCTTCAGGAAAAACATTCCTGCCAAGGAACGCGCGTGGCGCATGAGGGAGAGAGAGAGAGAGAGAGAGAGAGAGAGAGAAGCGGGCTGCCGCCAGGAATTACTGAACGCCCATCACAGCGCACAACAGCAGGAAATCATGACGATTTCGGCAGGGCAGGGAAAGAGTGACAGCAACACGGGGGGCATGCGCCGAGGTGGACAGCACATCGTGCCGAAGGGTCCACAGCGATGGCCCCCCCGTGGGAGGACAACCCTGGCCATGTGGGAGTTCATCGAGGGCGACAAGTAGTTGCGGTGACAACCACTACCAGGACAACAGCTACTGCTACCAGGACAAGAGGCTCCGCGAAAAGATCAGCATCGAGAGAGAAGCAACAACATGAATTTGAACAACGAAGAATCGTGTTCACCAACGAGCAGCATTAGATAATCGACGATGTCCTGGTAGAACTACGAGCTGATGCTGTAGACCATGAATCATGGGGCGAGCCGCCGAGAGATCAGGCGCTCCTCGAACTATGGACAAATAATCAACGGATGTGGCCGGCACGCATTGCCGACCAAATTCATGGAGCACGGGCAGCCAAAGTCGACGACGCGAAGTTGATGCTCGAGATGAGTGCAGCCAAGCAGGTGATCGAGCAGCCGAAGGACCCGACTGTCAGGACCAGGGGGCTCAGGGTGGTCCTCGACGGCTGCGCCGACGCCATGAAGCTGACCGGAGAAGAAGTGCGAACAAAGCAACACTAACAAAATACTACAGAAAACAACGTCAAGCGATTAACAAAGATCATGGAGGAGATCTCCGCGTACGAGGCGAACCAGAAGAAGACGGGGAGCGCGGCGCGGAGAATTGCCGCGCCGCAACCAGCGGCGTCCGAGAGAGATCCACCGGCTAATCCAGCGCATCGAGCAGCAACAACAGCAGCGACAGCAAGACGTCCACAACGCCATCGGACGCGAACGCGACATCCACCATGCAAGCCTGCAGAAGGATAATATGAGCAATCACTGCGCCGCAATCAGCGAACGCAGCGTCTGCGCCGAAGAAATCAAGCGCATGATGCGCGAGCGCATGGGAGATGAAGGCGGAAATGGCCGTGGAGGCGAAGGGGGCCACCGCGAAGGCACTGAAGCGGCAAGAGGAGCTCTTCGAACGGCAAAGTATGATGCCACGCACAAAGGCAATGACATACATTGAGGCAGCGGAAGCAGCAGCCGTCGACGCCAAGAAAAGGCAGCGCGTCGAGCACCGCGCAAACAACGCGACGAGAAGAGACAGCGCGAGGAGGAGATTGCGGATATGGCATTTAAGTTCCATATGGGTTACATGGTGAAGATGGAGAAGCAACGCGCGCTCGACTAAGAGGAGCAGGTCACTGCAAGGCGAAGATCCAGGAAGAGGCGCCCGTCGACTTCGGGGAGATGCAGCCCAGGATTACCAAAGATCACGACATGAAGGAGAAGGCCGCGCAAGCTAGACGCGCCGAAGAGTTTCAGGCCCAGCGAGCCCTGCGTGAAAAGCGCGCACAACTGCAACGCGAACAACGCCAGCTACGACAACAAAAAGCTCAAGCTGAAGACCGTCTCAACCGCGAGAAGGTGGACGTGCAGGGCGCCCAGACTGCAGCGTGGGGTTCAATTCGCAAGATGGCAGACTACGAACGCGTTCTACAGCAGGAGCACGAGACAGCGCTACTCCACGTACATGAGTGGGTAAGACAAGAGCAAGCTACGTGGCGCGAGCTTGGCACAACAGACGCAGCGACGAGCCAGCAAAGCAGAAAACTGCGCTCAGCGACGCCGCGACGTGCACGAAGAGCAACGTAGGGCACGCCTCGATAACATCCAGGAAGAAGCGCGCCGACAGGAACAGCGCCAGCAGTTTCAAGCACAGGAACTTAGAGTGCGATATCACGAGGAACTTTGCTAGCAACAGGCTAAGATTGCGGAGCAGAGCGCGCGGCGCGACTACTAGCGCCAGTCGCTCGAACAGGCGCCACGGCAGGGGCTGATCAAGAACGAGGAGATGTAGGCGGAGATCGTCGGCGAAATGGAGCTCGAGATCGACGGAGACAGAAGAAGAGAAGCGGCGACAACACCTGGCAAACATCGAGCAGCAATGGGCCGATGAGGAGAAGATGGGCGCGCTGCGCGCCATCGCGCCATGCGAGTTCACTCAGCCAGGTTCCGAGATCAGCCATTACAGGGGGGAGTGGGAGAGCCGCGCCGACAGCGAGGGCAAGGGCGCAGGCGCGACGAGCAGCGCGCCAGACAGCAACTACAGCCTCACGGAGCCCGGCTTCGCACCGCAACCACCGGCAGAACAGCCGCCGCCATTTCCGCCACCAGCCGACCCGTCAGTGGCATTTCGTATCCCAACTCCACACGCACTGCAACCAGAAGAAGCATTCATGAGCCTCGATGCGCCGCGCGCCAACGACAGCCAGAGGGCACCTACCCCAGACTTTGACAACGACGACGGCCTGCGAGACAACGGAGACGACGCGGACGCAGCACTAGCCCCCGCGCCGCCAGCAAGCCCGACACCACCCGCCGAACAACCGACCCAGACATGGCCCCAGGGCGACTCATCTTCCCACCGGCGCGAGCACTGTCGGCGCCACCCGAGTTCAAAGAGGGCGACGACCAATGGCGTCGCCAGACCACCGCGACCACACTTATAAACATAAGCCGAGACGTAGAGAGCGAAGCGCCAACAACACCACGACGGATGGACGTCGACAGCAGCATCTCACCGACAATCCCCCCGCAACCCATCGAGCCCCCACCGCGGTTGCACCTCGGCGCGCCCGACGGGGCGCAATCAGCGCCGCCGACAAGAGTCAAGTCAGCTCTCAGAAGCAGCAGCGCGCGCGAACGATCCACGCGCAAGGTGCGCATGCACGGCGCAGGAGATGGTTTCAAGCGTCCAGCAGACCGACAGCCGATGCCAGTCGACGACGTCGGCGGGTCTGACGACCCAGCGTCGCGATCAAAAATTGGGTAGGGCTGGGCCCGACGGGGGGGTGCTGACCCAGACGGGGAGCCCGAATGCCACGCCAGCATGCGGAGCATATGATCGGATTCAGACGAGCACGTGCAACGTGGCAGCGTGCCTAAAGGCAAACGCGATTCCGACACCCAGCCTGAGGATTAGCGTTCTTCGACCCGTGCGGCGACAGCAGACAGCCCGACGGCCCTGCCACATTCTCTACTTGGGAGATGCGGCGCTCGGGGCGACATTGAGGTGCACGCTTTGGGGATAGCGCGCCTCAGCCCCCCGGCGGCGCCACCGCCCACTCAGCCAACCACCGTCGAACGCGCGAAGCATAACGCAACAAAAGCACGCAACAACAGCGAAGCAATATGCGACTCCTGAGGGGGGAAGAGCCACGAGCAGTGGGACATCTACTTGCGATGCCACCTCGAACATGGGCCAGGACCTGCGACTCCGAGGACGTGAACCTCAAGTCGAGCCGATCCCGCGACAACTAACCAAAGAACCGACGCTGGTTCTCGGAGCCCCCCCGAGACCGGCATGGCAAGGCCACCGCTCAAAAACGCACGTTTCACAAGCACTGCGCCGCCGAGACGGGGGCCAGCGAGACCAGCGGCGGAGAGCCCACCGCGACCCGACCGACATCTTGCGCAAAGCAACCACAGAGCGACTAGCCACTCGCTCAGATAGCCACAAGTTTGGAATTCGTCAACACGAAGGACGCCACGGGCTGCTCCTTGGACCGGTTTCGACAACATCGAGGATACCTGCTTCGATGACTTGCACAACGACAAGGCACTATGCAATGTGAACGACGACGAGGATAACGACCGCGACGCGAAGATAAAGGTCCGATTCGAAGATGCAAGGGTACGATCAGTCCAACTCCAACAACGTCTCGAACAACGACGCCAACGACAGATTCAGGTGCAGCAACAGAGAGCACTACAGATACCATTGCACAACCGATTCAGTTGTCTTGCAGACGCGACGCACGATGCCGACGACGAGAATTGCGGAATGCCCGACAGCCCCGACCAAACACAACGTGAACACGTCAACATTGTCCCGACGAGGCAAGGAACAGACTCCGAGGCGGGCTCGATGGGCGGGGCGGCAGGGCGAGTACTGCCCGCGCCTGCCAGGGGGGATGATGAGGGGGTGGGGGGTGGGGTGGGGGGGCATATGGGCCGGCCGCTACCCGCGCCCCCGCGGCCCGCCTTAGCTCGCCACCCCCGCCGGCCCCGCGGCGGAGGAGGAGAACGCCCGAACGCCCAAGAGGCGGTGCACTGGACAGCTACGACGAAACTCACCACGAGCACAAGCAAGCACAAGGCCTGGGGTTCGCCCCCGCCGAGGGCACCGTGACCCCTAGCCATGGCGGGACGAGGTGGGACAGCCACGAATCTCTTTTGAAGTCGGCGCATGGAGGCCAAGCAAGTGCGACCACCACCACTGCGCCGCGACCAGCAACATGCTGGCCACGCACC